TTCAAAATTTTTCCATCTATCTTGAACTTTGTCACCGAGTATAATTTGTTATTTTCAAAATAGTATAATAATTCTTTTTTAAATACATTCAAAAGGTACATATGTCTGATTTAATAATATTAATTTTAGCTAAAAATTTATTTGTGCCAATTATTCTACTATTGAGTCGAAATTGAAACCATTTCAGCCTAGTATCGACAGTAAATTCAAAGGTTTGCTTGTAAATGCTCCATTTAGCCAGAAGTGATTTTTTTAATCCATACAGGTCTGTAAAGTGTAGAGAGAAATTAAAAATAGATTTGAACGTGTCGTATGTCATAAAAACGCCTTTATCGAAAAGATCATAAACATATTTTATCCCTTTCTGATGCCAAACATCAAAATATATTGTTTTATTGTTTATTTTTATATTTGAATTGTACCACAATGGCTGATGTAGAATATTATATATCGTTATCTTTTGGTTTTAACTTAATTAGCGCAATAATTATATAACAAGATGGCTAGTCATCACCATCCCGCGCCCTTGCACGGAAGGCATAAGGAAAAAACAACTTCTTGGAATATGAATGGGACTAGCCAGAAGATTCATACTCTGATCACAGTAGCTCGGCAAGGCACGGTCGCTATTCACTATAAAGTTTGCACAGCAATCTTTGCCTACCTCAATCAGCTGCTGTATGTTAAACAATAAGCTTAAACACCAGAAAACAAATACATGTACTATAATAGGTTGATGTTTGTACAAAGTTTCAAAAAGATATCTTGAATTGTTTATGAGATATGCTCCGGAAACAAAATTGTACACCGGACTAGTAAGAATATATATTCTGAGCACCTTAGTTCAGCATGTCGGGGTTGCACCATCAGTTGTGCCCAGAGTCTAAATCTTTAGACAAATCTCATATTCCGACACATGGAATATCACTTCACAGAATTTCATACGCTGATCACATTAGCTCTTCAAGGCAGGGTCGCTACTCCCTGTAAGGTTTGCACAACCACCTTTGGCTACCTCAATCAGCTGCTTTTTTTTTTTTTTTTTTTTTTTTTTAATTAATTAGTTTATTTGCAAATACATACATATAAGTATATGCGTATAATACAAACGGGATCAGAAAAAATTGTACACTTTACGAAATTTCTCCCAGTATAATCTAAAATATTTACAATTGCCACTGAAATTTAATTTAATACATAGTTATATACATATATACATGCTACTTTAGGATAATAAATAAGTCAATTTCGTTACATGCTCAATGAGTATTAACAGTGATAAACCACTGGAGAATTACAATAATAGCTACAGATTACATGTGAATCTTTTCGTTTCTTTAATGTAATTTTGTACGGTGAGAAAAATATGGATATTAAAAGATTTAGGAAATAGATTAGAACCATCTAAATAAATTTTATGCAACTCAGGTCGTGGTAGATGGCCTATAAAGCCAAGTTTATCAAGTAAGTGATGGCGTTGTAAAACATATTTTGAGCAATCAAAGAAGTAGTAGTGAAATGAATTTTCAATGCTTTTATTATCGCATTTACAGTATGGATTTTGAACGATGTTTGATTTATTAAGATCATAATTTAGACCACTACAGGTATTACGTATACGATTATGGTAAATGGATAATTTTCTGCTGCCAATGTTTCTTAATTTTGGAGGTTTGACTTTAGTCTTTATATTGGTTTTAAACTCAGATAAAGATAGTGTGGATTTTAAACCCGGACGTAAACTATTGAATTGTTGAATGGTTTTAGGAAAAAATGAGTTCTTTGTTACAGTTAACGAACGAGTGGTACTCTTAGATCATTACAGTTTCTAACATTATAACTATTGCTATGATAACTTATTATGTCTTGAAGATAAGACGGTCCTGTTTTGTGATTAAGCTTATGTAGTAAGCACAATCGTCTTATCCTTCTGCGATCATGTTATTTAGTCCATGCAGTTTCAAAATATAGCGATTCACGAGATGCATAAATAGTGCAACCAGTTACCGTGCGGGCAGCTCTAAGCTGCAATTTTTCAAGTTTTTCTGCGTCATAATTTGAACAGTTATCCCATACTTCGCAGGCAAACTCAAGAATTGGTAAGATATAACATTTATATAATTTATTTAAACTGGATTGTGTAAGTTGAAATTTAGCTCTACGTAAATGGTTAAGTTTCAAAGACGCTTTTTTTTAAATTATAGATTCAATATGATAGTTCCATTTAAGGTCATCTTGGATATACACACCTAGATGTTTATGAAAAGAAACCGTATGTAAATATGTGCTTTGAAATCAGCTGCTGTATGTTAAACAATAAACTTATACATCAGAAAATAAAATACTATAATAGGTTAATGTTTTTACAAAGTTTCAAAAAGATTTCTTGAACAGATAATAAAATATGCTCCTGAAACAATATCAGGACGGAAGGCTGGATTTCAGAAAATAAAATAATGGGTTGATGAATGTAAAATTATTTTAAAGGTATCTTGAACAGTCAAATTTGTTTCCATGGAAACACATAAAATTATCAAATCTTTGAAATTCAAAATAAGTGCCAAGAAGATATCTTGAACGATTTATGAGATATGCTCCGGAAACAAAATTGTACACCAAAAACTAAGTCAAATTTGTTTCCATGAAAACACACAAAATATCAATCCCAGAAATTCCTAAGTAGCAAAAGGCACAAAGATATCTTAAACGGTTTATGAGATATGCTCCGGAAACAAAATTATACACCAAAAACTAAGTCAAATTTGTTTCCATGGAAACACAAAAAAATATAAATTCCAGAAATTCCTAAATAGCAAAAGGCACAACTACTGTAATAGATTGATGTGTGTGCAAAGTTTCAGAAAGATATCTTGAACGGTTTATGAGATATGCTCCGGAAACAAAATTGTACACCAAAAACTAAGTCAAATTTGTTTTCACGGAAACACAAAAAATATAAAACCCAGAAATTCCTAAATAGCAAAAGGCACAGCTACTGTAATCGGCAGATGTCTGTACAAAATTATGCACCAAAACCTAAGTCAAATTTGTTTCCATGTAATAGGTTGATATGTGTGCAAAGTTTCAGAAAGATATCTTGAACGGTTTATGAGATATGCACCGGAAACGAAATCGGATGGACGGACGGACCCCATTTCAATATCCCTCCCTAACTTCGTTCGGCGCGGGATAATTAAAAAACCTCTTGCCAGAAAGACAATTTTGTACGCTTTGATAGTTTATAAAAATAATCATCCCCAACCAATAACTGTTTATCTGGTAACAATTTTGCCCAGGCAGTGTTTTGATGTTTTAAAACCTTCTAAACCATGTAATTTTTAACGACTTTGAGTATGCTATTAATTCAATCATTTTACATCCACCGTTTTCAAAATTTTGAACCATAGTTTTTCTAGACAATCTTTCAGTTTTTCTGCCCCAAACAAATTTATATAATGATTTCTCTAAATTCTTTAAATAAGATATATCCGGAAGGGTTGTTGAAAACTGTCGCTTGCTGGTTTATTCTATCCATGTTTGCTTTCCTATCGGTTCTTGCATACGATTTACTGTATATGTGACACTACGGTGTCGTTAAATAGACCAATTATGAATTACTTCCACTTTGTGATACTACCCGTGATACTATAGGGTGACACTATCGTCTAGGACTTTCTATTTCGAATGATCAATTAAGTCTGAAACACTGTTTATGTTGTTACTAAGTTTATATAACAAATACAGGAAAACTACATCTATTATAGAAACATTAATAGGAGTTATTAAAATATCCACGGTCTGAATTTAGCATCCTTTACAACTCAGACCTACGGTTTAAATACATTTTGTCTCTACCCCTGCCTCTCAGTCGAGGAGGCTACGACGTTCCCCATGAGCTCCGAACGACGTTTATCTCCCAGTCTCTCAACAATGTCTAAAGAAACTTAAATCCCGCACGTTCTTTATAAAGAGGTTACGTGCATGACTCATGTATTGAGCCCCGGGAAATTGACCAGGTACCTCCTTTCTGTTTTCCCCAAATTTGCGTTGAAGTTTGGACAGTTGTTCATGGCGTTAAAAGCTGTTCTTGGTCTTCTCATTCTTCCGAATATCTTAAATTTGTTCTGGATCCTGGAAAATAAAATATTGTGTAGGCCTACTTATTTTAAATTGCTAAATGTTGATGTTCAGTAGGCGTATATATCCACTTCTGTATGTTAATGTGTAATTATAGCCCAAGTCGCTCCAAATAAGGACTGAACTCAGAATTTACCAAGCGGGGGAGTCAAGGTTGGTAACGATCAGCTGGATCCCTAACGTGCAGGCCTTCATGTTCGGAGCCCGGTATTGATTGGACGAAAAAACCCTAGGCCCTGTGTACATGTTGGCGTGCACGTAAAAGAGCGCTTGACATTTGGAATTCAATTGCTGTCCGGGCAAAATTTCCCACAAAGCACATTCTACACAATATAATAATTGAAAACCCCGCTTTTAACAATCTCATATCATGCCGACACGTACACCCCATTACATTGTTCATATAATGTTTTATGCCATTTTTAGCAAAACTATATATCCTGTTTTGAGACGAGAAAAATGGCCAGAACTAGTCGTTCCTCAGTGGAAAATATTACCTTTCAATCGAAAAGTTTATTTATGGTTTATATTCCCTGTATTGTAAGTTGTGTATACGCTAGAGATGATATTGGCTATGCCTGTAATTCCCCAATCCATTTTCATCCATTTGAAATAAAATATTGTTTACAAAAAAAAGTGTTTAGTGTTAATTGATATAAAGTGAGGACACAAACCCCAAACTATCATCGACAGTATTCATTGTTTTATAGCCAACCACAGATTACAGATCACAGATCACTTTTTGTGAAGTAATTAGTATTATCATGATTCTTTTATCCAGACGCACTGTGAAAGAGATATGTAGCGTCTGGGTAACCGAGAGGCCAAATCACGTGAAAAACACATTTATTGTGTTGTGTCATGGGCAACTCACAAATTCAATTTCAAATTAGCTGACGAAGAGAAGGGAGCTTGTTCTCTTGAGGTAAGTAGGAATAGATTTTTGATTAATCATGTATTGTTGTGGCCAACTATGTGATTTTTCTAAATTTTTAATTTTCTATTTTGTTGTACTATTTTCAAAGTTGTGTTCGTATTTAAAAAAAAAACTCTGTATAATAATGGACTTTGAAGTAAAACCACCAGCACAACATAAATATAGTGTCGGCGGTAGCTCACAGAGGAAAAAATCAACAATGTTTGATAGTAAACATTACCTTATTTAGCACCAAATAAGCGGATGAACAAGAAAATCACAAATTGTGAAAACCCGGATAACAGACAGAAAATATGTTTTTGAAAAATCAAACACCCGCGTTCTTGTCCCCATGCACCAATGGGAAAGAAGAGTAAAAGACTCTGTTTCATGGCTTGAAACAAAATGTGCCCCATTAAATTCTTATAGTAAACAGACAGTATAATAAGTGACTGGTTGGGTTTGATCTTTTTGTTTTAAACATGTAAAACTCAACCAATTTTTCATTCTAGTCTCGAGAATAATTTCATGCAACAAAAAAGGTGGTAATTAAGGACCATGGTAATGGAGATTGGAAGTAAGCAAAATCTAGTATATGTTACAGGTGAGCTTTTCTAGTGTTTGAGTATATATTTAAAGTCCTTTTCTAATATACGCCCACATAAATATCATGTGGACGTTTTAGGCCTTTGCCCCCGAAAAAATTGAAATGAACTGCCCGACAAAATGGCCCCTCTTTGTACACAAATTGTGTTAAAGTATGCAATACGAAGGTTGTGGTAGAGGTCACAATTTTTATTCGATTCTGATGAAACTTAAAATATATATATCTTTATATCCAAAAGATCTCCGCCCCTTTTGATATTTGGCGCATTTCAGACATAAATTTCTGGATTATTACCCCTGATTGTACAAAAAATCCTGTTTCTTTTTAGCTTGTTCTCTATCCATCTCTTGCAAAATGTGGGTGTATCCTGTCTGGCAGCCGCTGGTTTTCCAATTTTGATGCAACCTTAAATTTATGCTTATATCACAAAGATCTTGGTTCCTTTCGATATTCGCGCATATTGGAGCGTAACTTCCTGAATTATGGCCCTTGATCGTATGAAAAATCGCGTTTTAAGCTTGTGATCCCTCTATAGAGGTAAATTTTTATATGCCCACATTTTCATATGGACGTATATTGTTGTCGCCCCTGTCCGTCCGTCCATAATTGTTTTATAGGTCACAATTCTCACCCGATTTTTACGCTCTACACCTTGATTGTTTTAAAATTGATATATGTTGTTTATATTAGTGAGATGAAGAAGCCTATTTAATTTCAATAATTTTCATTTTTAACTTCTAGAGTCATAGCCCTTGTTTCACTTTGTTGAACTGTGTGAACGCTCTAATGCCAAAAGTTATCATCCGATCTGTAAGGAATTGATATGCATCGTTTGAATTAGTGAAATGAAGAAGCCTATTGAATTTCAGCAATATCCGTTTATTAAGTCTAGAGTTATGGCCCTTGTTTCACTTTGTTATGGCCCTTGTTTCACTTTGTTATGGCCCTTATTGTTTCACTTTGTTATGGCAAAAGTTATCATCCGATCTGTATGGAATTGATATGCATCATTTGAATTACTGAGCAAAATGGCCATTCACTGTGTATGTGCGAAAAAAAAGCCAGCTACCATTTAATTTTCGTACGTTAGTTACGCACGCTACCCCCACTGTTTGCTTTTAATCCTCTAATAAATACTAACATTTCCAAATGTAAATTTCAGTATTCTGGTCAAGTACATGTAAGTGGGAATAATAAGATGTTGTAGATAGAACATCATAATTTTAATATTTTTGTGTCTCTTCAGGAGTATGATGGCTCAACGTATTTGCAACCTGGGTTGGAAAATGATAGATTGGCAATAACAAGGTTAGTTTTTAAATCAATAACTAACCCACTCCACTTTTTATTGCAGCAATGTGTTAATTGCGAAATTCTATATAAATTGTCCTAATTTGTAAATGTACAGCGAGACCCTGACAGGGACCAGGTGTGTTGTCTTAATCAGTATTTTTGACTATATGAAAAACTTAACTTCACGCATAACTTATGGAATGCCCACGATTGCCAAAAACCATTAATTTCTAACTTACGAAATACCCAATACTACCAAATATAAATTTCTAATTTCGAAGGCAAGTTCTGTCCCCTCAATGGCGCTTGCATTGTTTACATAAGATGTTATTGGTTCTGGCAGAATGGTCCTTTTTTTCATTTTAATACCTATCGACACTAAATAGGAAATAATTTTTACCTACAAATACTTCAAAAGTATTTATTTTTCTAATATATAAAAAAAAATGTTTGAGAATTTAATTTGTCGGTGGAAAAATGTTAATACTTTGGGCTCATTAAGTTGCATTGATGTCATCCTTATCAATGAGGACTAAAACGTGATAGTACACACCCTATGCATTTCATGAACAGTTTTCTTTTTCAATTTTAATATTTTAATAGATTTCAATTGCAGTTATTGAATCATGGTAGTATAATGTCAGATATTGTAAACTTTATTATTTTAACAATGTATTACAAATAGATGGCCAAATTTTCTTGCCAATACACAAGGCCTTTTGGCTTTAATAGTAATAGCAGGAGGACCGTACTACACGTCAATCAAAAATCCACAAGATAAACCTGTGGACAAGACAGAAAATAGGTATTGCACAAATCAAGTGAATAGATCCAGGGGCCAGTCGTAAGTGTCCACTGTGCTGTACAGTCCCGGGCCTGTTATGTTACAGGCTTCACTAAAAATGGAAAAAAAAAAGATTTACAAAAAGACGTAATTCAGTATTATCAATCTAATATTTGGGAAATTCATAAAATTCTTTCAGCGCCTACACTTCAAAAACCCAAAAGGCCCTTTGTTGACTACATTACATGTACTAAATAAGGACGAAAGATGCATGTGTAATCGTTTTTTACCTAAATAAATAATTCTGATTAAAACGCAATAATTAATAAGGGTAATTCAATGTAAAACATTAGTGTCGTGCATCGGTCAGCAGTCCTCATATGTTGTCTTCATTTGTATATAAATTTACAAATATGTTGCAAACAACTACTACTGCCAATCTGCAGCTAAATACTGTAAGTATATAAGGGAATGAGTTGTAAAAAAACAAATCTTGTAGTATAAATTTCTGCTGATTTCTACAATGAAATGCCATCACATTGTCATTTTTTAACAATAATTTAAACATACATTATGCAAGAGCTAAATTTAGGCTTCAGATGTTATAGAATTATTAATTAAACTTTTATTTACATAAGCCCAAAATCTACTCTGTTGACCCTCGGATGACTTGGTCGATACAGCTTGGATTTAAACAGTCGTCCATTTAAAATTAAATCAATAAATGGCTGACCAAGCTAACGTTTACCGTTAGTTGGTGACCTTAGTTCCGGAAACTGGTGATGAAAGACCTCCCAAGAGAGGGTATCATTGCCATTGAGAATGTTACTTGATAATCGAGAATATGTGGATGGAGTTATCGTCAATCAAACGATCGGCAATTCTCATAGACAGTGCAGACACAGTTAATGCCTTTTTCTAGCCCAAACTTCCAACAGTGACAACTACGTTCAGAAAAAAGTAATTTCCAAGAAATTTTCAATATTTTCTTTTTTTATCGTCTATTTTTGAATTATTATAGCAAGAATTGCAAACTCTTTATTACTTTCTTAACTAATGTATTTTTAACTTTAAGATACCTGCCATAGGTCACATTGCTTTTGATTACCACTTACTCTCAACTTACAGGAAGTTACATATATTTTTAAAGATGCACTATTCAAGAGCTAAATCTGCCCATTGCAGATTTTTATTTTGGCTTCAAATGTTATATAAATTATTATTTAGAAATTTATTCACATGACAAGCCTATAATCAACTCTCTAGACCATTGGATAGCAGAGATTTAAACCGACTGAAATGTGATCGCCATTTAATGATTTAATTTAAAAATTTAGAAGTGAGACTTAGTCTCAAGTAACATTCCTACGGTAATAAACAATATTTGCCAAATCTTGTCAAATCAAACAGTGATAAAGTAATTTGAATGAAATTTTCAATATATAAATTTTGAATTATCTTTTTTGAATCTTATAGCAATAATTGTCAGCTCTTTACCTAAATCTTACATAATGCATCTTTAAGTCAAATCTAATAGTTAAATGACTAACTTAGGCTTAATATTTCCTTTGTGGACCATCTTGACAGTTGGAAAGGTCACCACTTGGCTGTTCGAGTAATTGGAAATGTCACTACTTGGCTAAATTCTCCTCCCTCAAATTTCATGCGAAATCCTAGTGAACAAAATATAACCATGTGTTATTCTCAAAGTGACTAAGTAAATATCTCTAAGACATTAAACCCCATTCCACTTAAAAGAATAGGTTTGATTTGATTCTGATATACATTGACTTTTAGTGTAGATTTCTATTCCCGTGACAAGACGAAACAGGTGTAAATGTTTTTGTATTTTGTATGCAGGTTACTATTGGTAACCTACTAATTTACTAACTATACTACCATACAACATGTTACATACCAGATAAGTTTATTGATGTTATAAAACGTCATTTTTACAGCCCAGATTGCATTATAGAGACCATCCACTTTGTCTGATTTGTATATAATTGACAGACTACAAGAGGTGATCAAACAGAAGAAGTGTTGTGACAATGTTGATCTGTTTAGATTGTTTGGTCTTATTCCGGAGAGAAATTCTAGAGACAAGTTTAGCTTTTTTCAATGCAGCCGTTTGTCTACACTTAGTTGTTTCCGATACTCAAAAACTGTTCAAAGAGTTCATCTGAAAGAAGAGTATTTGTAGTTTCTGAAGATAACATTATGAATTATCATTTGGATAATTAAGATGTCACAATTCTATATATAAAGTTCATCAGTTTAAAGAATGTGTGATATTGTTGATCTGTTTGTGTTGTTGACTTTTATTCTAGGAGATTTTCTGAAGACTTTTGGTCATTCCCCACGCAACAGTTTTAGCGACCCCTGGTGTGAGCTTTCTCATGTTTTTTCTGATATTCTCACAATCTGTGTCTCTAGTTTATCTTAAAGGGTAGTTGTAGGGTGTGAAGGTCAACATTTGTCAGTTACAGTTTACAGCCAGATAGACAATATAACAGAGGATGAGGTTTATGGCAATGTTGTTTGTAGTCTTGTTGTTTGATTTACTTCTTAGAGATTTACTAGTGATTCACACTATGGTACAGACCTTTCTTATTTTGGTTTAGTTTGTTTCTAATGTGTGCACATCGTTTCTGATTGCTTTCTTCTGATTCCTGGTGAGATATATCTTAATCTCTGGATCCAGTTATTTCTTATGACTGGTAGTTGGCAGTCCATGACTAATCTATTTTCTTGATCACTAGTTATCTTAAAGAAGGGGAGTTTTAGAATTCAAGGTATATTGTGTTCCTGTAAGGTGTAACATTTGTCATAACCTCATATCCTAGCTATATATGATAAAGACAAGATAACACAAGATGGAGACCACTCAAGATGGCTGACTTCTGATTTACAGCCTTGATGGTTTTTATCAGTTGTTATAAATGGCCTATTAGAAGCCTGGTGGATTCAAACGGTGTAAAGTATGGAAAGACAGACAATGTGTTCTGTTTAACAAAATAGAAAATATTTAGGCCTGTAGAGTCCTGTAATCTGATTAGAAATCTTTACTAAAAGTCAATGAATATCTCAATCAAATCACATCTGTTATATTAAATGGAATGATGTTTAACATCTTCATGATACTTATCTTATGTTAGGTTGTTTTTATTTACTATAGCTACGTGGACAATACAGCAGAGAACTGTGGGATTTCAGCTTACCCATATTTACTTTCTACTGCCAATTTAATTGTTGTTTTACGTACACTCAGTGAGCATGGGAGGATATCAGTTTTTCGGATGATTTGAACAACTAGGTACACTTTCCTCGTCAGTTCACCACAGACTTTACCACAGTCAATGGGGACTCGTGCCAGCAGAATCCATTATGTTCTTTTCAGCCCATGTCGAGATTCAAACCCTTACGCGTAACCAAATTATTAAAATACAGTAAACTTTACACGAAGATCCAAGTTAGCCGAAGACCTGGTTCAGCTCTGAACGTATGTATCATTATGTCCCTGTATGTTCACGAACCGTCCTATTGAATCCTTGTCAAAATAAAATCGATTCCCAGTCAATTTTACTGCTAAATGGGCTTGTGTCAGTCACTGAACGCATGAACACTGTAAAGGAATATTTTAGTGAGAAAATAAGACCTTGCTTGACTTGCTAGAGTTGGTATGTGCAACACAACATGCTGTTAAAAATGTCTCCCCTTCTACTAAACGGCTTTGGTGGACGCCATTGAGGTCTATATGTGGGGTGGCGTACGGATTTACGTGGCTCATCCATATAAGATGAAACGAATTTTAGGTAAGCTGGGGTGGGGAAAAATTATAATTGTCTAAAAGCTGAGAAATTTAGTAAATTATTGCTTTGCCTCGCCCAATTACAATCTATTTTTTTTTCAAAAATGTCAATTTCGTTTTGTCTTATATGGCTGAGTTGCACAAATTTGTTGTTGCTCTGTATTTGGATTTCAATGGTGTCAGTCAGGCTGTTTTGCCGAGGGGAATGTATTTTTAACAGCATGTTGTGAATATACTGCCGATTCGACTTAGATCAAATGGACCGAACATTTTGATCCGAGTTGAGCAAAGATCCGACTTAGGAAATCTGACTTATCCGCAGAAATTTAATAAGAAAAACGTACAGGATCAAAGAGTCCAAACGATTTGATCTGAGTTGAGCAAATCGGACTTATGTGAGGTTTACTGTAAAATTGAACA